CCAACAACTCTTATTAAAGTTATTTTTCAGTCAGTTTTTTCAGAAAACCTTAGTTTATTAAGCCATTTAAAACTGCCAACAAACAGGATGCATATTAGTCGCTTTTAGATGCTTAGCCTAATTGTTCGATTTTCAATGCTATGAGAAGCTTTTTCTCAATAACTGCTTAAAGCTTCTGTAACTTTTCACTAACACAACAGTAATCCTACCAAACAATTCTACAAATTCAGATAGAGTTAAAAATGGTAAGAATACAGTTATAAAAGTGATTGTAAAAGCATCATATGACTGCTCAATCTTTTAACTTATTCAGTTATAGTTAAAAAAAAGCAAAATAAAAAAAAAAGGATTTGCATATATAGTTTACATTTAAGTATTATATTCTTGACTTTAACGTAATACCAACAATGTATGTTAAACAAATAATGTAAAAAAACTTTTTTTATCAGTTATTCTCCTTATTTAGTATTTGAAACAAACTCGTAGTCTAATCTGTTTTGCTCACTTAGACTAATCTAGATAACAACTATTGTTTATTGTCAACTAAAACACTGATAAAACAATTATTATTAAATTCTAATTTTTCTTTGCCGTAAAATTATTGTACAAAAAGTTTTTTTTCAAGTTATGAAGTAAAACTTCTTGTTAACGAATCTGCTGAACACCTGAAATTAACTGAAATAATTGTATGTCATGGTGCAGCAAATATCAACTAATGCATAAGTAAGAGCACAAAAACGTTTTATCCGCTATGTGCCTAGAAAAAAGACGGTGTTATCCAAAAAAAAAAAAAAATTTTCCTATTTCTGAATAAAATTTCCACTAAAGATTTACGCTACTTGCAGAACAATAGCAAAAGCAGCTAGAATCTGTTTTATAAAGAGGGTCAAGTTCTGTAAATACAAAAAAACCTCTAGTTTTTTTTTTTTTCTTTGATACTTCAGCTCTCAAAATTTTTTATATAAATCTAACTTTATAGTTTTTCAGCATCATTCTCAATAATGTAGTAAGCAAAAAAGCATTTTCATGCAAAAAATTATATGCTATAGATATATCCGTAACATAAAAAATTATAAAACGTAAAAAGGGTTCGTAAGCAGTAAATACCTATATAAATTTCTGTTAACAAATAGATGTTAATGTAGACAAAAAAGAGGCTTATAAGTTACAAAGGAAAGAATAATGGCTAGCGGTTAAATTGCTTATCCATCGTTCAGTTTTCCTTACAGGGAAAGCCAAGAGGAAGGGGATAAAAGAAAGCTATAACTTAACTTAAATTGAAAAACTTTCATAATGTCATAAATGCCGTATTATATTTGCACAATTATACTTTATTTTTTTTTTGTCTTGATAGTTTTTTAAATGTTTACAGTAATAAAAAAACTTTTGAAATAACAAATTTGTTAAGCACAAACTTGCAACTGGTCTTCTATCAAACTACCAGTTCTGCCTATTAATCTAAATCGCTAAGTCAGCTAATCATTACTTGAAATGTCTATCAGTTTGATGACAATAATACATAATTTTAGCATTTTTTTTTTTTTTGATGTTGAACTACATCTCTGTTTGTACCACTTATTTAGACTACATTTAAAAAAAGTTAAACCATAGTTTAATACAGCAACAAATTCTTCTTTCAATTTTTTTTGGATTATTAATGAACAAATGATAAAAAAAGAAGAAAAAAATAGAAAAAAAAGTGATATTTATGTTTTTGACTTAGCGTGTAAAATCAAAAATAAAAAAAAAAATTTTTTTTTTGTTATTGCTCACTATCTCAATGAAATTTCAACAAGAAGAAAAAAAAAGAAGTATCTACCTAAACTACCAAAAACTTTAAATCCTTTGTTTACTTTACTGTTATATTTGAAACCAAAAAGCTTCTTTAGTTGGATCGCTGTCGATGTATTGAGGACGGAAATAAAGATTATGATGATGATCTGGCTAACCGCTAAACAAACAGACAAAATTTTCCTGTTTTCGTATCGCTTCTATTTTAGATCAAAAAAAAAAACTTATTGAGAAAAAAAAGACGAAAACAGTATCAAAAACAGTAGCCGTTAAGCATATAAACATATATATATATATATATACATATATATATATATATAT